CCCTGGACCAAAAAAAACCCTCCCCAGCACCTGTCCCCCGCCGGGACGGGGCCACTGCCACCGTCCCCGCTGGAAACCCTGGAGGCAGGTCTGTGGCGGCTCTGCGGTGGGCACTGGGAGGGTGTGTCCAGGGGCCACGCGCGTTGCGGCGGAGGGCTCGCGCGGGGCTGGGGGAGGGGGAGGCCTCCTTTCCCTGTCAGTCCGAGATATTTCGTTCCAAGGTGTCATTCAGCCTGCCTATTTACATAAATGGACATCTGGGAAGGGAGCAGCAGGAAGAGGTGGGACCTCGGGTTCTCCTTGACTGGTGGGGGCACCGCGCGGGTAGTGTAGCTGAGCCGCTGGGCTGGCACGGGCTCAATTACGTCTTGCCTCCACGTGTTAGTGACACGAGAAAGCTGACTTTAGGTAGGTGCTGCAGTTCATCCTATAGAATAGCTTCTGTGAACTTTTTTTTTTAAAGGTGACTTAACAAGTCGGAGCAAGATGATTTTTTCGAAGTGGAAGCGCAGTTGTGATTTTTAAAAATTGAAATAACTGATTAGCTGAAAATCTCAGTGTTTTCAAAATAGTCCTAAACGGTCATATTAAAGACGAGTCTAAAAAAGAGGCTATACTGTGGTTGCTACTAAAACGCTTTGAGTTATGATTGTGGTGGAAAATAATTGAAATAGGACAGTTTTTTGCACATTAGTAAATTGTAGTCTAACATTGTTAGGTCTCTTTCCCTTTAGAGGAGATAAAATTATGCTGCTGCATTTGAATGCTGACCATTGCAGTATGGCCCTTGCTGCTTTTGGTTATAGCAACTGCAGGGTTTTTTTTTTAAGTGGAAATGCTAAACAAAACGAAGACAAAAAGCAATAACTCCTAGTTTTGCTTTCTAATTAAATTGTAGTAAATTAATAGAAATTTTCATATAGAAGTTACAGCTATTTGCTTGCAAGTCTTCACTTTTCCTAGAATTAAAAGCTAACAGTGGAAGCTTTGAGCACATTTGTCGGGTTTTGAGGATCAAATGAGATAAAAAGATATGGTTAAATATAAGGTGATTGTTAGAGACACACATTGCAGGTATGTTAACATTTCTTCGGAGGAACTGCAATAGAGTGAGATGTGTCGATTTCTTTAACTTTTGCATGTAAGTACTCACCATTCTTGATAAATTTTGACACTTGGAGAAAAAGCCACTTAGAAATTTGCTCTAAATTTAATGCCATCATTCTCTTCTAGCTGTGATCTACTTATTGCTATTAATAACTGAAGAGAACAAAAATCTTAAAGCAAAATCTCCATTAAATTTAGTGAAGAGAAAACCCTAGTGAATCTTAATGACTGTCTCACCTCCCTACTTCTAGACTTAACTCAGATTATATTATACATTCTATTCAGCGAGCTACAAAAAAAAAACCCCACTTGATTGTAAAATCATTTTGACAGATTTTAAAACTTTCAGGATGAGACTCAGAAAATTTAGTTGGAAATGATCTTGTGAAAATATAGTTTAATGTAATTAATCTATAGGTGCCTTCATTAGGGATCTTAATCTTTGTTGGAGATTAGGAACATGGTGATGTTTGATATATGGTGTGGTTCATGGGAATGTTAATTTTGCTGATGACTCTGTAGGCAACAGTTTCTGTTCTTGGAATCCATTCTGGGCCCACAGGAATAACGTTTTTCAGACTTAGAGTACTGTAGTAACTTTAAAGTCTCTCCCCAGTACTAACTCTCCACTGTTCTACCACAGCTTCTATTTGCAATTGAATATTTTAGGTAACTAAGATGGTAGTATAGAACTGCACAATTTTTGTGTGTGTGTTTATGTGTGTGCGTATATATACACATATATTTTAAAGTATAGTCAGTGTACAATGTTGTGTCAATTTCTGGTGTACAGCATAATGCTTCAGTCATATATGAACATATATTGTTTTCATATTCTTTTTCACTGTAAGTTACTGCATGCTATTGAATATAGTTCCCTGTGCTATACAGTATGAACTTGTTTATTTTATATATGTTAGTTAGTATGTGCTAGTTAGTATCTGTTAATCTCAAACTCCCAATTTATCCCTTCCCCGCCTGGTAACCATAAGATTGTTTTCTGTGTCTGTGAGTCTGTTTCTGTTTTGTAAAATTCATTTTTTTTTCAGATTCTGCATATAAGTGATATCATATGGTATTTTTCTTTCTCTTTCTTGGCTTCACTTAGAATG